TCATGATTGTAACTGATAGTGTGTTGCCAACAAACAACAAGATCAAAGATGTGGGAAGCCTAGAGTACACCTTTGCCTACTTTCTAAAACACAAAGTCAAGTTCAATCTGTCGGCCCTTATGCTGAAACACATGGAGTTTTGCAAGACTAGTAACCGACTTAGTCTACTGATGCGATCCTGGTTGGCCCGATCTTCTCTTCACACTCTGACTAAAATAATATTTTAGAACAATTTATTAGGCTAGGTGAAATCTAATTAAAAGGTTTAATTTAGGTTGGAAAAGGGCTAATTTTTGGGTTTTGATAATTCCTCGGCCACACCGGGTTATAAGGTGATACGTAGGATTTAAGTCGACGCCACAAGTGAGGTTTCACACTTGATAAGTCAAGATCACCATGACTTGATCATGGTTGAACTCTCTCGAGTTCTAGAAAACACTCAGTTTTCTATCTCAAAAATTCTCAACTCTATATTTTATTTGGCATGCAATGGCCTTAAATAGCCATTAACAAACATATTACAACCACATAAATCATAAATGTGATAATTATTAAAAATATAATAAACTAATCCTAACCAACAAACTAGGATAAACTTAAATAATAATATAATTCTAACAAACTAAATCTAAAATAATTTAACGATAATCATCCTAATTAATTAATTAATAAATAAATATAACTAATTCTAAAATATTTTCAACAATTCACGTGTCCACAACATCTACCTTACGGGATGATCCTGAGTTTGATCATGGAGAAAAAGGGGGTGGACCTAAGCCACACGGAGATCAAACCCGTAAGCGGGATGATTTTCAATGCCCAACACCTCCGCCGCAACGACATCTACTATGTCGGAGAGGGACAATACATCACCCTCGAGGAGGTTTGCCTGAAACCCATGGAAGAACGAAGAGAGTTGGTTGATCAACTGGATATCTCCAACAAAAAGTTAAGGCGGGTAATGCAAGAATGTGGAGGACTGGAGGAACATGAGGAACAAGAGGAGGATAGAGAACCTAACCCACCTATGCTCGCACAAGAAAGAGGAAACCCAGAAGGTCGAAACAAAGAATCCATCAATGAGCGCATCCTCGCGCAACTTACTCGGAAAAACCAAATTATGGACGAAGGATTCTCATCCCTAATCCACGAACACGGGCGTTAGATCAAAGGGTGGCAACAATTGAGGCCTTGTTGGGCACACGCGAGGCGTCCAGCTCGGGAGCAGGAAACGAAAGTAGACCCAAACTTTCCAAACACTACCTCACCAAAGATCCAATCTACCCCAGCAAAAATGACACGTCCGAGCCACATTTCCTAACCAGGAGGCCAAAATACGTGACGTCCAGGGGTGAAAGAATGGGTCCACACACCGGCTTCGGGGACGAAGCCTCTTGAAAGGGGGAGGGTGTAACACCCCGTGTTACGGCCTCTAACCCAAACTAATTATTTAATTACCTACCCTAAAAAGAGAATTAAATCCCATTAATTAATGAGGGAGAGTCCACCATAAACCATGGACCCTTATCCCGAAACCAATTCCTTAGTCCTATAAGAAATATGATTACCAAACCCATACCATTTAGACCCTAATTAGGACTATTAGATATATAAATAGGCACATAAGAGGCACCTAAAAGGCACACCACAATAGATATCACCACACAAGAATTCCCAAGAATTCTCTTATCACCAACATAGGAGAAATCAAGAAGAGGAGATCTTAGAAAAAGACCCTTAATAGCCATGGAATTTAATTAAGGCTAAGAGGTAACCCATGTCTCAACAAAACCTATTTTCTTTGCTATAATCTTCTTCTTTGGCTCATTCTCTATGATTGTGTCTTAATAAATCGTTTATGATGATGATGATATGATATTGATGATTGATGAGATGGTTTTATGTGTTGATCTTGATAATCTTGATGATTGTGTGATGTTCAGGATAAATCTTGATGTTCTTGATCTTAAAGATAAAACTGTGATTTTGATGATTTGAATATAATTAGAGCCCTAGGTTAAATTGGGGATTTCGTATTGTGATTTTACGGATACAATTGGGTGGGATTTCACATGTTCGGATGTTATTTATGTTTAAAAGTCATGTTAGGATATGTTCAATATGATTCTTGGTTTTGATCCATTAATTGACTACGTGGTCTCATGGTTTGTGTTTAAAAGTGTCTACACATGGTTCCGGGTTCCCCGAAAGATCCCGGGACCAAAATATTGAAAAAGAGTCAGTGGAGGGTAGGTGGGGGTGGGGGGACCCACCACCTACCTGCTGCCCAATTTGGCATCACCGGCTGCGGGTAGACGACTGCCCGCCGGGCACCCGCTGCCCGGAGGCTTGCCGCCGGCGGGTGGTCCTCCACCCGCTGGATTTTTCCCACCTTGGGATGTTGGCTTCCCCGTTTGATGTTCCCTGACCCCTGTGGTGTCCCGACGGACTCAGCTTATCGTGCCTAAGTCTAGTTTGATGTTTCGGGTACCGTTCGTAGGATAAAAGAGTCTTGTGTATTGCATGTTGGTTGAATTGGTACCCCGTTGACCTAGGTGAGAGATGCATGGACCCTTAGGATATTTCCTAGTAAGTGGATGGCCATGCATAAGTTTCTTTATACGTTTTTCTCCCCTCTCCCAATGTGTTAATATGAATTGCATGTGCTTGCTACGTGTTATTTGTGCATGACTCCCCAATATTGGCTGCAGTCAAATTGGTCTACATGGGCTACATCTACCGACTGAGCTCGTCAGCGGTGTGTAGGACTGTGGTCCATGGGCTGCAGTACACCGACTGAGCTCGTCAGCGGTGTGTAGGGTTGCAGTCCACAAAGAGGATCATAGTCCACCGACTGAGCTCGTCAGCGGTGTGTAGGACTATGGTCCGCCGCTGAGCTCATCAGCGGTCTCACAGGGGCTGAGATCCACCGACTGAGCTCGTCAGCGGTGTGTAGGGTCGCAGTCCACAAAGAGGATCACAGTCCACCAACTGAGCTCGTCAGCGGTTTGTAGGGTTGTGGTCCACCGTTGAGCTCGTCAACGGTCTAATCGGTTGGCTGCGGTCAATCCCTTCATGCTGCGGTATGAGGTAGGGTGCTGCGGGGCCGTGTTAGCGCTATATGCGCTAACCCTCATGTATGGTTATGCGATTGGTCCTATGGCGCCACCAAAGTGTGCTTATATGATAAAGATGATTGATTGAAAGATGACATGGATGAAGTGAAGTTAAATTGTGACCTTAAGATATAAAAAGATATATTTTTATGCTTGATTATAATTGTTGAATGTGCTTATCCCTACCTGTTGAGTCTATTCCTGGTTTTTAAAGCTAGAGTCTCCTAAGTATATATCTTCCTGCTTCAAAGTGGTTTTCTTTTATATATATATACCTATAATGTATTTTAATGCGTTGGAGTGGGTTACCAGCATTATTCGCTGAACAGATATATTTGGTTTTCAGGCATAAAGGATTAGCTACCGGAGTGCGCTAGAGGAACTCGACGTAGATAGTTAGTTTTTCCTTTCGGCCTGCGTGCCTTGATGATGTAATGACAATTTTTTTAGGATAGTTAGTTAATGTAGCATGTGCATCTGAGTTCTCCAGCTCAGATGTGGCATAACACCCCAGACCCTTATGTTCAGAATACTCCATTTGGGATTAATTAATAGAATTGCTTTCATATTATAAGATTGAAAAGTTTTAAAAATTTCGGGGTGTTACAAACGGTCCCTGCCTAGGGCTATTGGCTAGCTTCGGGGTGTTAAATTCTTCTTCACCTGTAACAAGTTTTTAGACAATTCAGCACTCCCAAATCCTCAACCACATCAATAACCTAGCATTTCTACACATTTCAACATTTATCTTGACTTCAAAGAGTCTATAAAAAGATGTGGGGAGTCCATGGGTTATACCTCAGCTTCTTCTTCCTCTTCTTTGTGTGGTTCCCTTTCCTTTCTTTCTCAGATGCTAACACCTTCACCACCTATTTCCTCAAACAAACATCGATATATACTAAGCTTAAGACAACCTCAGAGATAGAAGGTTAAGAGATGAAACCTTAATGAAAGATGAATGAATGGTGGAGAAGAGAGCTAGAAATCCTTACTTTGTTTTCTTCTTTCTCTTGGCAGACTTAGAGAGTGAGGAGACAAAGAAGGAGATCAGGGAAACACAATGGAATAAGGATGATTATATAGGGTGCAAAACCCTAGGAGATTCTACAATGATTGGTTGATGGTGGGATGGTAATAAATTGGCTTGATTATCAAATATCTTAGACAAGGGTTGGAAGCTTGTGGTTCACCAAGTATCATGGACCAAAGTCTAGAATCATAGTTTAAAATAATTTTTGGGTCAAAATACATTTTTCCAAAAATACTTTCTAGACAATCACTTAGTTTAGGTCTCTCCCAGTTTCACTCAGATTGACTTTTGGATCAAAAACTTGGTACGCAATGTACCCGAAAATTAGGATTTTAGAAATAAATAAGTCCCGTTTTTTAATTTATTTAAAACGTAGCTCAAAGTAGTTAATTCAAACACTGTTTTCATTACAAATACTACAAGAAAAATTACGAATCGCGATGAAAAAATTCCGTCGCGATTGGGAAAAATTCCGTCGCAAATCTTGTTTCACGATGGAATTTATTCCGTCGTCTACCGCCTTGTCGTATTTTGATAGACGACAGAATAGTTCCGTCGCAAAATTTAGTGACGGAATAAGGCGCCGCCGCCATTTTGCAATGGAATTTTTTCCGTCGCAATTCGGTCGCAATTTTCGCAACGAAAATGCTTCCGACGCTAATTCCGTCGCCATATATGAACTAAATATTTCGTCGCCATATTATCTTTACCGTTGCCAATTCCGTCACAAAAAAAAAACGACGAAATGTTTTCCATCCCGATTTCATCGCATTTTTTGTAACAAATATTCCGTCGCGTTTTTTAAATTGTAATGAATGTTCTTAAAATATTAATATAAAAAACACAATTAATTCTAAAATAAAATATAAAATATAACATAATTCTACATTAAGTTCAAGTAATAATACATTATCAATCAACATATAATACATAATAATAGTCAATTAAAGTCTAAACAACATTGTAATAGTCTTAATAAACAACAATTATCATTAGTCGGACCATTAACAACTAGAACAACCATATGAACCGAGTCCATAAATTCTTTTTTTCTTGTCGTGCCCACCAACCGCGTCATAGTATAATTGATTATCATCCACTTACTCCCCATTTTCTGTCAACATCTCCCGTTGCGATGCAACTTGTTCCTAAAATATGTAAGAAATTTAGTACAAAATATATGTAAAGTTATATATATATATATAAAACTTAAAATAAATTAAACTTACATGAATCAAAAGCTTTGTTTATGTCTTCCAATGGCAGATTGTGTGTGATCAGCTCATCAATCCGGATTTCCTGTAAGGGCATCCCCAATAGGAGTTCTTTCCCTAATTTTGGAACAATAAAATCTCCATGTTTAACTTTTTAACAAATGGGAAGCAAAAAAACATACCACATTTTTCTCCTGCAAAAAAAAAAAATTTGTCAGAATTTTTTTTAAAAAAAAAAGAAAAAAGAAGGGTGAGACGCGCAGGTGCGTCTCACCCTTCAGCCTGGCGGGCGCGTGTAACACACGCGCCCGCCAAGGCGTTTCAGAGTGGCCGCCAACTGGCGGCCACTCTGAAATCAATTGATTAAATTGATTTTGGATTGGCAACGGCCTTTAATTTTATTTTTTTTTGTTTTTATTTTTATGATTTTTATATATTAATAATATGATTTTTGTTATAATCATGATTTTTACATATGATTTTTGTAATTAATAATTATGATTTTATTTGCTATAAATAACACATTTTTCACAATTTTTAACATTTTTTATTTACAATTTTTACGTATATTAATTTACATATTATTTTTAGGTAACATTTATGTTTATCACTAAAATTATAAATGAAATAAATGAAATAAATAAATAAATAATTAAAATATGGAGATAAAATGGTGGGTCCACAAAAAGTTGTTAAAAAACTTAAAACTAATGGGAAGAAGAGATTTTGTGATTGAGTGAGATAGTGGATGATGAGGTGGAGGTTGGAGCCCACAAAAATTAGGGGTAAAATCCCCAACTATTGAGGATGCCCTAAGGGACACCAAACAAAAATACATAAATAAATAAATAATCTAGTAATTTCACCAATTATTACTTGTTCATACACAACAATGAGCAATCTAGTAAACCAGAGCTTCCAACAACAATGTCACATGCATGTTAGTTCCATTTACACAGATCAAAATAAGAGATACAGGTGAGAATTCTATAATTCTTCTAACATTTATTTTCAGAAACCAGCTTGAATTTATCATTGTACCCAACCGAAAGCCAACAACGGGTTTCAAGTAGTCCGTCCATATAATTGAAGCGGTTCAAGTTCAGAATGCAAGCAAGCTGGCAATCAATCAAACCTTGTTCATGTACATGTCAACTGATATGAACCTAGTCCAAGATTCAAATAAGATGGAGTACTGTCCCAAGAATGCTCTCAAAATAAAGATAGAGATGGATCAAAATACCTTAAACCTCACGAGAAACCCTTTGTCTCGAATCCTCAAAGACTTGGAAGAATCCCATGTAGCTTCAAGTACCTCGATGTTGCAATCTTCAATCAACTAGAGTCGGATCTAGTTTCCTTCGATTCAAGAACAAGTCCACGAACCTAAATCTAAGGTTGAAGAAAGTAAGATTGATTCGCGTCCACGAATCAATTTGCTAGTCGAGTCCACGACTAGCCACTAATTGAGTCCACAATTAGCCATAAGGTTTCTTACACAAGTGTAAAGAAAAACTTAAGAATTTTATTGAATTAAAGCCTCCCTGAAACTTATATGGATGTGCCCTATTTATAGGTATAGGGGCAGCATTATAATTCTAAATGCAATGGAAAAAAGAGTCCTAAACCTAATCTAGAAAACAAGTAAATAGAGTTTTATTTAGAAAATGATTTAAGGAATCCTTTCTACATACAACTAGTGTTTTCTCTTTTATGCCAAACAATTTAAATTAATGATGACCAAAAATAATAGGGCTGATTTGGGCCTAATTTAATCACCAAAATCAGCACTTAAACAATTATAAAAAGCCTTGAATTCTTCTTCATATTTTGCAAATGGGCTTGACTTGGATTTCCACCATCTTTGAACATCACCAATGAAGATTTGCCTTAATTGTTTGGACTTGGGCCTTGTGATTGGCCCAATTAGTATTCTTAATGGATCTTCATATGTTGGGCCGCATCATCCTCTCCTTCTTGAAAATGATTCGACCTCGAATCTTGTAAGCATTGTCTTCGATCCATGATATCACTTGAAATTGGCCACTATAATATTTTCCTCTATCGAATGGACTTATTATTGGTCTTTGTTGTTTCTTCCACCAATGATGTTTTAAGGTCGTCGTTATGGGCCTTGTGATGAGCCCACTATTTACCCTTTCTGGATTCCATGTGTACTGGTTCCTATTATTCTCCCATTCTTGAAAAGGATTCGTCCTCGAATCCAAATCTTCAGTGAAAGACAAAGTAGCAAGCTCACTTTCTGTTTTATCACGCTCATGGAACTTTTTCTTGGGATGCTTGACATGAGTCGCTCCAATCATCATCCTACAATCAACAAGTAAGGCAATTAAGTCTAATGACACATCAGGGAATTTAAACATTCTGGACGGTAATAATTCAACAAAATGAGACATATTAAATTTATGCATCTTGTTTGAATTGTCAATAAGCACAAAATCTTTCCACCTAGAGCTTAAGGCTAAACCAAACACAAAATCCATGAAAATATCAAGTAATGATTTAGATGCATTGTGGTGGTAAGTAGCACAATTATGAACATAAGATTCTACATCTTTTTTCTTCTTTGGCCAATGAAAATATCCATGCAAAACATCATCACTCTTCGGAAAAACAAATTGTCCCTTATGTGAATCAATAATTAAACCATTGCTCAAATCCAAGCAAAAAGTGCCAATCCCATTGACTTTGAAAGAAAACCCCTTGAGCAAGTAGTATTTCACATAAGAAGTTTTCAAATGTGCCTTATAACTTCCCAGTGATTCCTTATCTCTATCAAATAAAGTTTTAGTAAAATCAAAATTAAGGAATCTCGGATGTATGGACGCAAACAAATTTCTAACACATATAGCAAGGAGCTCATTAATAGAAACATGACAAACAAATCTAGAGAATTTTAATGCATGCTTTTGAAATAAAAATGAGTAAATAGTTACTCCCCTTCTTTTCTCTTGCTTAATATCCTTTGTAGTTACCAAGAGAGGTTGCACTTTGACACCTTGGGCTGGTCCTTTCCACTGTATCACTGATTGTGGTCCCTTTGTTTGGCTACAAACCGAAATAGAAGATTGGAGTGGTGATTGCAATTCCAAACATGGAGGTTCCACTTTTCTCTCTTTGATTTCTTCCTTTGATGCTGGTTTGAGAGCTTGCATCAATGTCAATTGAATTTCTTCTACTTGTTTAAGATACAAACGAGGCAAGACATATGTAACTCCATTCATGTGAAACACATAAGTGTTCCTCATTCCATCATAACTTATTTTTCTGTCAAATTGCCATGGTCTACCTAACAAGATATGAGCAGCCTGCGTTGGGATATTATCACACAAGATTTCATCAGAGTAACTGTTAATAGATAAAGGAATAAGAGCCTGTTTGGTTACTCTAGCTTCTCCTACATCAGTTAACCATTGCAAACAATATGGATTTAGATGATTAAGCAAAGGTAACTGAAGAAATTTAACCATAGTTGCACCAGCCACATTTGTGCAACTTCTAGAATCTATTACCATAGCACACACAATCTCTCTAATTGACCCTTTAGCACAAAATATATTTTCTCTTTGAGACTGATCTTCTTTTAAAGGGTGAACATTCAAAACCTCCTTAACAACAACAATATGACTAGACTCACTATCAACATATTTAGAATCAGAATCTAAAGGTATGAATGGTTCTCTCTCAACATGTTCATTGGGGGTTTCAAAATGGTCACAAACCTCATCCTCAGATTTATATTCAAGACAAGACGTAAAATTTTCAGATTGTGTTGTTATCTTAACTACCCTCTTGTTAGGGCAATCACGAGCTATGTGGCCTCTCCCATTACATCTATAACAAATCAATTCTCTATCATGTTGAGGCCTTACTGCCTCACTTACCTTTTCCTTACCTTTGTCTCGTGAATCATCTCTTGGAGGAGGATGTTCATCACGCCTTTGAGGGGTGGAACAAGTGTTGTTCCATCTTGATGCACCATTTTTGGACTTGTACATTTTCATCTCTTTGATTTTTGCCTCAGATTCACGTGCAGCATACAGGGCATCATAAAGGGTGTCATATCTCTGAATACTCATTCCACACCGAATTTCTAAGTTCAATCCATGTACGAAACAAGCAACAGTTTTTGTCTCTTCTTCATGTATGTCTCCCTGTTTAAGCAAAATACTTATAGTTTGGTAGTACTCATCAACTGACTTATTTCCTTGCACCGTTCCCTGCAATTTTCTTTTAAGATCATTGAAAAAAGATTTAGGACGAAAGGTTAGGCGCATATCTTCCCTCACTTGAACCCAAGATTCATAGGGAATAAAATTAACAACTCTTTCTATATTTCTTTTTCGCCACCAAGATAATGCATGCCCCTTAAAAGATGTAGCAACTATCCTAATTTTTGTAAGATCAGAATATTGCTTTAAATAAAAAAGAGTTTCAACAGCATTCTCCCATTCTATGTATTCGGTAGGTCCTTTCTCACCGGTGAAGTTAGGAATTTCATGTTTAATGTTTCCTAACTCCGCATTACGCTGCTGGATCCTTTGACATATAGGACCCACTCTTCCTACAGGTGGCAGGTGTCGCTCATCATTGTGTGGTGGTTGCACTTGCTGTGAGCGTTGCTCCAAATTATTCATTCGTTTGAGTAACCTGTCTATCTTTTGTTCTAATGTCTGGGGAAAGTTTGGAACTTGATCAGCCAACTGTATAGGAAAAAAAATATCTAAAAAAAAAAA